AATTGAAATTGATTTATTTACCTGCATTTCGAATTTTTGTCGTCGCATAGATCGAACTTCATACGACCTTGTAAAATGAACAGCAATTCGAAAATCCATGTCTCGTTATAATAGTTTCGAGGATTTATTAGAATTCTTGGCACATCGTGATACTAAAAGTGATTAACAGTTCTGGAAAATGATTATCAACAGTTCACGACAAACCTCGGCGCAAAAACATTCGCATAAAAATTCTTTTTACTCGCGTACTTATCGTTCGTGATTATTTTTCCACTCTCTGTCCAGTAAATTCAACATTGTTTTTCACGTTATTTACAACTTCTGTGCAATGTCTGTTATGGATCCAGGTAAGTAACACGGCATTCAACAAGTTTTTTTCATCGACGTTGTTTTCCTTTTCGTTCACATCGATCCGTGCATGTGACAATAATAAAAAATTGACATTTATCAAGCGAAACGCAAAATTCAAACATTCGCAGACGTCTGTTCGTAAACATTTTTCTCGTGTACACGGTGTGCGAGGGCATTATTGGTTTTCCGGAAATATTCCGAGCCCAGCTATTTAGATCTATTCGAAACGTAATTTCTAGGCAAACATCTTTTTCAAAATCAATCCGAGCTACTTCGTTCTAACGAAATGAATTACTATTTAGTCTAACAATGTCATTAAAGGTTAATTGAATTGATAGAGACCAAGGAGCTATAATGTAAAACTGTAATTGCTCTAAAACAGACTTTAACCTAGCATGAAAAACGACTGACAATTACAGACAACATTTTATAACGGTCTACCTTTTATTATATTAAAAGCAAATACACAGATATAAATCTAAGTGTTCAATAACGATGCAGAAAATCAATGAATATTATATTTCGTGATCGCAAGCAATTAAGGAATGAAAATGTAAAATAATGATCGAGACATCGTCATTTCGCGAGCTGCCACGTCTGATATCAATTATATTAAATTGAAACAAGACGAGTTCGCGCCTAATCTCGTAAAGTCGTCGGCTCTGGAATTCCAATTTCCAAGTTCCGGCATAACGTCGTCCTATAATGCAACAGCGGGCGCGAAAAAAGGGGGGCGGTAGGAAAGAGGTGGAAAATATAAAAATGAGTGTAACTGACGCTGTGCAGAAAGCGGGTGACGATAAATTTACTTGATTTTCCTGCGATCGATTGTCAGGACGTTTAATTTCGTGTTCGCTTTTTCTTTGAAACTCGGTTAGGATCTTCGTAACAATCACGGGACTGCGTATCGATCGCGAGAATCCAGTTCTTGCGGTGCGTCCAGTCATTTAACCAAGTTGGACTGTAAATTTTCTGAAATTCAATCCAGTGAATTTGTTCGTTCGTTGTCGATTTCGCGTGGCCCCCTCCCTGCCCCGCGAAAACTAATATCCGCGAAGTGCAGAATGTTTCGTTTGTTCGGGAATATTGGAATTCTTCCGTTCAATACGATCGCGTTGCAGCTACTCGAAGAAAAACTTGTTCGCGTCACAGCTCGAGATGTTTTGCAGACGCGATGATTGTGTCGTTATTCGGAAAATTTGCGGTACAATTAAATTCTTGTATCAAATGTTTTACTTTTGAATGTAGTTCCTTGGATTAGCAGTTTCATTTTTTCATATGGCCTGTAATATTAACAGTTTCATTTTTTAATGCAGTGTCTAATATTAACAGTTTCATTTTTAGTATAATCTCTAATATCAACGCGTTTACTGCCACGAGAAACAGCGTTTTATGTATCACTTATCCTTTCTATAGCAAAGATAAAAAGCAAGAATTATTCATTCTTTGGTATGAAAATTCTTATATTACCCTATTATCTAGTTATTTGCGTGACAGAAGATTTATATTCGAAAGCAATTATCTTCCAAGTCATAATTACTTTAACAGTTTGATTTTTAATGCAGTCTCTAATATTAACAGTTCCATTTTTAATGTAGTCTCTAATATCAACAGTTTCACTTTTTAATACAGTCCCCTAGATTAACAATTTTATGTTTCAATATAGTCTCTTATATCAATAATTCCACTGGGTCGAAAGTAACAACAAGATAAACGAAATTCAATTGCAACTTATATTCTTCGTTCTCGAAAGATTGTTTCGAGAAAGACGTTGAAAGACAAGTCAATCGTAGTTCCTACAATGCAAGGAAATATCTTTGTCAGTATACCCGCGCGAACTTCGAAACAGAATATAAATATAGATTGCGCGTTTGCGAAAAGACGATATTGAACTTCTAACGGATGGAACTCGGAGAAAACCGTGTTCTCGGCGAAGAAGTTCGGTCAGATCCACAAACAGCTGTGCTTTTTTGTTTAACTACGAACGAACTTCATTTATTCCAGCTGAAACAGGGGGAACGTGAGAAAGAAGTAATTAAAACGAACGCTCAGAGGATACGTCTTTCATTTTCTCTCGTTCACTTACGTGACGGGCGAAAAGAAAAATCATTCTCGTCGCAAGACATTTTACACGCAGTTTTCGCCGAAATTCGTTTTCACACGAAACACGATCGGTTTCAAAATTTAATTTAAAATTCTGCGTTTTCTTTCGTTCATTTTACAATAAAACTATCAGACAGGTGAAAATTACTTATTTCTGATTTCTTCCTTTACAATTATTAAAAGATTTTCTCTGCGAAATTATTAAAGGAATTGATTTAGTATTACGCGAACTAAATTGTAAATCAATTACAGTTTCATAAGATGCAGTCAAGGAGTTTCTATAGAGAAATTTCGAAAAGTGAATTTAGTTGCTCGGTAGTTTTAGTGTTATCATCTTCAGAGCCGAATTTCTGTTGAGAACAGACAAAGATGGCCCCATTTTTCGTCCGACTGCAGTTTATTTTGACCAAATTGCCACGAATCGAACGACACGAAGACGGACAGAGATAATTACGAGAAATATCCGAGAAAAAACAAGTGTCCGTTCGACGAACGTTAATGTTACACTAAAATCAAATGTACACATATGTGCCAGTATCCTTGAAGACGTTATACGTTGAATACCGAACGCTTTCACGGAGCAAAACACATAAAGTGAGGAAAATATAATATCAAATTACTTAATCGAATTGCGTTATTATGATCGCACAATCATCTTGCTCAATATCATCGCATTAGGTAACAATATTTATCATATAAAAATATTTTCAAGTAACTATTTAGTAACTAAATTACAATAATTCGACATGGTATTCAACATATTAATCTGATGTTAATACATATAGGGTAGACCGAGGCGAATCTAGTCGCTTTCTGTTTGACAATATAGATGTAGAAATGGTTGAACATTAATAATAAAATGTACGAAAAATTTTCTTTGTAAAATAAGAAGCGAGAAGTGAGAAATAGAATTTATGATGTAACAAATGTAAACTAGATTTTCATTCTGATCCAATTCGCCTCGGTACCCTATTGTCCGATTAATCGTTTATATAAAACGTAGGTATAAATTTTAACGGGTTTATATTAGTTTAATAATACGATTAAAGTTATTCGATTTTTGGCTTTCCGTTCGTTTCTGTTTCCACTCAGAAAAATTGGTCGTCTAACTCATTTACCTTCGTTGTCCAACTAGTTCTTTAACTGATGACGTTAGCGCTAGGTATATACAAGGTGTCGATACGTTTAGTGTTAATTACTATAAATGAAACGTTCCGTGGCATTAGCGTTAGTTTTCGTCGCATAATGTCGCGCGTAGGGACAAAGTAGCGCGTGATTTTCAATGCATCGGAAGTATTCGATCATCGGCGAGCCCGGTAAATGCGTGCAGAAAGGAATCCACGTGTTCGTTAAAAATGGACACCGAGGATTTAATTAAATGTGTTATTAAACGATCGTGTTTTGTAACATTTCGCCGTATATCGATTCCGCCGGCGGCACGGCGTTTTTAATTGTACAACAACGCGGAACGAACGCGTAACGCAATATTCACATAAGCACTGGTCATTCCACGTTGAATCGCACAGAATCTTCTCCGTAATCATTGATCCACCATTGATTGAAACTTTTTAATAGACCGCGAACTTCTGACATTTCTTTGATATCTTGGAAAATCGATTTGTACCTGCATTCCGCCATTCTTCCGCATTCAATAATTCGATTCAAGTGAATGATTGAAACAATCTGCGTCCATCTTTCTTCATTTCAGAAGTGAATTCTCGAAAACCCTCGTCGAGCCAGAAATGAGTGATTATGTGTTTATTTTATTTTTTTAATTTATATTTATACATAGGTATGAATAATAATTTATTCATAATGATAAATGAATTACGAGAAACATGGTAGCTAACGTGTCAAAACAACACTTGCAGAGTCGACACTAAAATCAGATGATCAACGCGATACCACTAAAATATTATTGGTATCTTGAAAGCGTGAAATATCCGAAATGATTTGAAAAACACTTCACTTCAATATTATCATCAACACGCGAAGAAACCGAAGAAATATATATTATTACAATTTGTATAAATTACATATTAATCATGTTAACACTAAAACTACCGAGCAGTGCAATTGACTGTTCGAAAATCCTCTATAGAAACTCCAAGACTGCGTCCATTGAATCTTCAATTGATTTAAAATTCAGTTTGCGTGTTGCAGAATCAATTTCCTCAATAATTTCTGAGTGAAACATCTGTTACCTTTTTAATAGGTCATTTTGACCCGTCTGGTGGTTTTAGTGTCAATATTTTTCACGGCGATTGTTCTCTTATTCCTCTTGCATCTCGTAGAACCAACAAAACGAAGTCGTTCGTTCGATATCATTTAAAAAAAATATGAGAAGAAATGTGTTCTCGAGTGTTCTCAAACTGAAATGACTCGATTACGTATAAGCCGTTTATACCATATCCCGCAGTAGCTGCGATGGATGCGAGAATTTGTCATTCTCGCGGAATGAGCACACTCGAGCACAGCAGCGGAAGGTGAAGCAGCGAGTGATAGAAACGGAAGCCGTTGGCGGAAAAAAATATGCACGCCCGGAAGGAAAGAGGGAAGGAATTGAATTTGTAAATATAATACCCGCATAAAGGGGAAAGCTGCACGGTGTTCCTGCCAGTGTTTCATCTTGAATAACGCTCTTCGCGCGTGAAACTGCCTCGTGTCATAGACGATTAAAAGGAAAGTGAACAGTGCAGCGTGAAAAAAAAGGAACGAAAGGGCCCGTTAGAGATGCGTGAAAAACGGGATTTTTAATATGTCAAAAGTGAGGTCAAAGCGAGCACGGGAACACTGGAATTCGAAGGAAACGCGAAAGAAGATTAACCCGCCGTAAATGTTTGACGCACAGCCTTTCGCGTCGTTCCCATGAAATCAGGGAATAATGGAGTTAAACAGTTCGACCGTTGCGATTCTTGCATCGTTCTCTGAAGGACCGATAATACGTTTTTAATTATTCCATGATTAGTCCAGTGGTAAATTCTAGACAAAGGTTTCTCTCAGATCAGCTTCGATGAAAGGTGAGATGTCAGTGGACGGTAGCGTAAAATGGGTGGAATGATGAGTTATAAACGAGACGAACGTAGGGTCGAGTGGTCGCAGAGGAAGATAGTTGGATTATTAGAATATTTGGAGGAGGATCTTCAAGTGCATGCTTTAAAATAGCTTCGAGCGAAAGCTGCTTGATGATCCGGGACGCAGGTATCGAAAGTGAAACGATGCGTTGACGCATCCCACGAGATTTTCCAAAACTTTAACGCTCAATCTCGTGTAAAGTATGCCGTGTAGGATAATAGACTGCCGTATAGCTTAATTTATTAAAACAGTAACGAGGTTTTATAAGTTTCGTATTAACCTTTGCAAGAATTATGAAAGTATTGAATGCTTAATGGTTGAACGTAAATGCAGAATGTATTTCATTCATTTATTTGTTTGAGAAACTGAATGAAAGATCACTGAAATATATATAGTAGTATCTATGAAGTATAACTTTTGAAGATTCATAAAATACAATCTTTACGATTATACAGTATAGGAAATAATTCAGGGTTAATATATCTCCAGGATTATCTAACGTCCCCATGGGGAATCCTTTCGAAAATGAAATGATTAAAGGCAGCCATATATATGGAACTTCTCGTATACGTGGCACAATGGAAGCAACCCCTTCTTTTTCACGTGCGAGCGAAGAAAGCAGCGGTGTACGAGTGAATTTTCTAAAACGGTCTTTTGTTTATCGCGCCGCTAAAATTCCATTGAAGCGTCTAAGTGATTATGACGCGTCAACACGTCAAGCAGCGTGTGAAATTTTACGCTGAGCGAATATGAAGCGTAACGCGTACGCAATATCTGTTAATTTAATATGGACGTTTCCGTGACCTCTAATCGCTCGGGGAAGCAGACTTCAGATTAATTTCTGGGAAGTATTCCTTCACACTTTGACTTCTTCTGTTAACACATTGCGTACCAGCTAATTTTCAGAAAATTGAATCGCGCGGATGGCGATTTTCAGTGAGATCAACTTATATCGCTATCTACAGAAAAACTTGAGTACCATATTGTTGTGTAATATATTTTAAATACACAATCCGTTCAACGCAACTCTAATATTATTTCAAATGCTGTAATTAGCGAAGTTACACAGCTGAGTGTCTGTACATAAAAACGAGATTTCTCGTTACCAGTATGCAATGTGTTAACAACCGTTTTTGTAGTGTTTTCTAATTGACACTGCCAGTCCACGTTCTAACGCTTTGACGTGAATCTGCGCGTCGAAAATGAAGGAATCTATCGACAATTATTGTGACAATAAAATTTAATGAAACGTGAAGATTTTGCTTGTTGATGTAACGATTGATGTCGGTTTAACCCCTTGTCCTATGACTTCTTTCTGAACTGTGATGATCTAACTATTTTGTTATTAATAATTTATTGAAAATAAGAGAAAATTCCAGTCTCATTCCACGTGAATATGTGCTCCAATACATATAGTAGTGTTCAGAAGATCCTGGCCAGATCGTTTTTGGAACTTTTCTTACATAAGAAAGTCTTTAAGCATTTTTTGTTATTATGACATATAAAGGACATATTGCATAAGAGGATACCGTGGAAAAATCAACGCCATCTATTCTTTATACATATTTTCATAGAAATAAATAATAAGTAATGATAATAAACTTTTGAACATGCTAGATTAGTTATTCTTTAAATACACGACTATGAAAAGAAAATGGTACGGTTCCCTACCAAAGAACAATTCCAAAAACAATCTGACCAGGAACTTTTGAACGTCAATGTAACTATTGGTAACAGGGGAATAATATGTAATTTTCATTCGAGCAAATTGTTTAATCTTTATGTTCGTTAAATTCTATTTGAAATCTTCACCACGAGTCTGGCGCAATATTCTAGGGCAAGGAGTTAATGTTTGAATCTGAATAATTTAGCAGGATGACTCGCGTTAGCTGGAAAATGTAATTTCAACAGCACTTCCGATTCTTGATAACACAATTTTGAATTCACGAAAACGGGCAAAGTATTATCAAACGGAAAACTTAAATTGTACTCTTTCCTGTGGGGAAGTCCTCGGTAATCCCGAAGGCTCTATTTTGCTTTGAATTTACTGGTTCGTACGTGGCACCTGGGGACCCAGAAGACTCGAGAAACTTTTTTCTGTTACGTTTTGACCACTACGGTTGACAACATCCCTTGAAAATTAATGCTTATTCTCCTATTTTATATCAAAACGAGTTCGAATGAAAACATAATATTCCCTGATTATTAAAAACAATTTTCCTCGGCAGCTTTCTTTAAAACACGCATTCAAATGAATTTTCGTTGAAACAATATTTCTATCTTCACTACAATTTTCACTTTAAGCGATTTTTAATACAAATAAATTGTTAAATTCCAAACCTATAAACCTCAACATTTTGCCACCGATCCTTTAACATTCCTTCAAATCACATAAAATTTTTTAAATTCTCGATCGCAATTAGTATCTCGATAGAAAATCGAAATAGCATTCTTCGAAATGATTATTCACCTGTTAAACCATTTACGAAATAATGTTTTAAGGAAACTAAGTGACTTGTCCATCTCGCGTTCGTTTAAGTTGTTTTTAAGCGTGTCGGCAATGGGACAACATTCGCTAGGTTTTCTGTTATGGCCGCCAACGAAGAAATTACGAAAACATGACAAGGTGATGAACGACGTTAACTAACCGGCGGTAGAGCAAAGATTACGCTGGGCAAAAACGAGTAATACATTCGCACTTAATTTAACTTTGTTATCTCCGACTAACAGACAGGTGAATAAGCTGGAAAATGAAAATTTATTCGGTCGGCTCTCGTCCAGTCCTTGGGATTACTCGTGGACTTCGCTTTGAAAGCACGGTGTCGAAGAAGTTCGAGCCAGACGATGAATACTATCGACCCGATCCACCTATCCATTTCCCAGGATAATGTGGAATGTGACTTTACACGTATAGCTACAGGGTGTGCGGCGATTTATTAATCCGACGTGAGGATAAATGTGATTTTACCCTTTAACACTTTGACCGCCGCGGTGGTCACCGATGACCGGAGCTTCCAAATTGCTGAAGAACAATCACAATAAAAAACCTGATTTTAAATAAAAATATTTGGTAACATAAGTAGCTAGATCATAGCGTAATATGATTATTGTAATACTAAATCATTAATAATTATTTTCAATATCATTTGCCTTTGTTATTAAAGAATTAGTATTACTATTCAAAACGCTAGAAATTCTCGTGGCAGTCAACGTGTTAACCCCTTGGTCTATGATTTCTTTCTCAACTCTGATCGATACGGCTGCTTTGTCATTAATAATTTATTGGACAAAGAGAAGAATTCTAAGCATATGTTATGCCTATATTTCCTTTTAAGTATAATAGTTGATTTCAGACGAATAATATTTACTTTGAACTCGAATGAACTGAGTAATATATACATATATATTACTCAGTTTTGTTGAATCGCGTTGAAAATCTTCACCACGAGTTAAAGGTCAATATTTGTTTAATAATACTAATAACATAATGTTGGCTAAAATCGAAAACACTGATAGAACTCTATAACCCTTTGCTCTATAATATCATTATAAATCGATATTAATTACTAATATAATTATTAATATAATTATATCAGTAACAAAGTAATGCAACATGTACGCTATAACATACATATATCAGAAGATGACGTTATACTTCTCTGTAACTTCATTATCCAATAAACTTGGGAACAGCAGGATATCGGATCTGTCCATTGCACACTCTTTCCACTTAAAGGAAACATCGACGGTAACGCGCAGTAATACGTATTTGTTCCACTTCGTTCTTCTTATTTTCTACCACAGCGATCTATATTAAATTACATTTAGAAAAAAGATAGTACCTTTTGCGAGGATCATACACATCAACGAAGAGAAATGTCGTATATAATCGAGCGCGTGGCAAACAAATGGAAGAAGAAGTTCTTTGTATGTACACTGGGTAAAAGAAGTATTCGTACACTTAGCTTTTTGGCAATAACTTTCTACAAACAGATTATGTATTGGCAAACTCTACTTTCACTACTAGTCTACTATCTACAGATAGAATGTGGAAACCAACAGTTTTTTATAAGGCATACAACAAAATTTATACAAGAAAGATGAGAATTTGAAAGTCAAAAGTATTCTTACACTTGTGATTATGATAATAAAACTTATAGTTTTTCAAGTCCCACTTACATTAACATTTCGTATGCATCCCTTTTGCATCAATAACGGCTTGTAGCCTTCTTGGTATGAATTCGACCAGTTTTTTACTTAATTCTTGTGATATTTTTTCCCATTCTTCCAGAAGCACTCGTAAATCATTTTTGTTTGTTATATTTCTTTTTCTTATTTCTAAATCCAATATGTACCATAAATTTTCTATCGGTTTAATGTTGTGGAATTGTGATAGTGTAATTAATTGTTTGGGAACGTTATACAACAGCCATTCTCTAGTTTTTTTTAGCGGCATGCTTCGAGTAGAGAATAGACTATTAATTGAAGTAATTTTGATCGTTATATCATTCGTTTGCATAAAGTTATCAGCAAAAAACTAGGTGTACGAATAGTCTTTTTACCCACCGTATATTTGTACGTAGAATCATCTTGTTTTCGGACTCACGTAAATTAGAATCCACTCTGGAGACGGGTACTGGTATAATCCTTGTTACGCTCCGAGAGGAAAAAGAATGTTCGTCATCAGTCTTGCAGAATCCCCTGGGAAACGATTTATTTATTAGTACAAGGCTCGGAACAACTGTTATGCATATTAAAAAGGATCCAGAGGATTCACTAGCGAATCGTTTCATTCTTTTTTGTATACGGAAGTTCCCTGTAACAAGTGAACGTTCCTGGAACGATCGCGAAACGTTATACGCGTGTAAACGTTATCGGGCAAGCATGGAATAATATTAAATTAATTAAACGTTAAATGTTTTAAGCTCTTCTCAGAGAATACGTG